AAAACAAAAACATTCTGGAAAGGAGTGTCCTTGGAGTTTTTTATCTACGTATTGGAACAGGTAATTGGCTTAACGACTAAGTCTAAAAGACGCCTATTCCTGATGAAGAAAAAAATACCTACAATTAGTTTATTGTATTATGACAAGAATGTAACAAGTTGTAGAAAATGTAAACAATCACCATCGCATGTTCTAGGTTTACTGCACTTAATGCCCTTTATAAGACTTTTATTGCCTGTAGATTTTCAAATAACCTTGACACTGACTTTTAAGTTTCAAGACTACCTGGAAGAACAAAGTCCCCATAGAAAAACCCATTCTACCAGTTTTCTAGTTAGCCTGAAAGTTATTTTTGCAAGAAGTTATCAAACAATCAAACAACCAGTGGCTAGCAATTGACGTAATCAACGCTTAGAACATTAGAAGTGTTACTTATATAAATAAATGATAAATGAAACAGGTAAAAACTCTTTACAATATTACATTTTAAATTGCACCGACTTAACTAAAATCTAGAAAAGGGAGATAAAGATGATCATGATAATTAACGGACTTTAGTCGCAAAACAACTACGCGACAAAGAAACCGTGGAATAGCCATTCTTTGGCCCAAATAAATGAAAATTGGCCAGTTTAACCAATGCTAAGCAACTCCTTCGATACTGAAGAAGTGAGGTTACGGAAGACTGAAACCTCAAATAACCATAATTCTGGAAGGGGGGGGGAGGGGGTAATCAAAGTGGCGTTCAATTTACTAATGGTTTTTTTAGAAAAACATGTAACCATTGGTAAGTAATTCCGATACCGAGTAAGTGCGGTTCCAGGAGACCCAAACCCCATAATTCTGGAAGACGGGGGTTATCAGCAACGCACTTGTAACACTTTTACTCCCTCTACCATAAAAACACCGAAATAGCAACTATTAACAACGATATTCATCACATCACACATCACATCATCAGCCTTTAATGGTCCACTGCTGGACATAGGCCTCTCCTTAGAAAGGAGGTTTTGGCCTACTACACCACGCTGGCCAGACGGGTTGGTATAGGGTTTGTGTCAAGTTTTCCTTCTTTTTGCAGTGCTGTGACCTGCGTTGTTTTGCGCCCTTAGTCGGCTCTTACGACACCGACGTATTCTTAATCCGTCACTACACAGACACTATACGATATTCATGCTTCTTAAATATTGTCTCCAAACAGTAATTTGGTAGCTAGATAATACTTTATTTCAGAATACCAATTTTCGTAATAGTTCAGACACAATTCAGTTCCGATCAACTTTCGATCTGACAACTTTCATAAAAAGTATTTTCGTAGTAAAGTATTAGGTAAACATCTAACGTTTACTGTATGGTGACGGATTAAGAATACAGAGTGTCACCACCCCTATTCATCCCGTGGGTGTCGTAAGAGGCGACTAAGGAAGCAAACTACGCAGGACAACAGCACTGCAGAGAGAAGGAAAACTTGAAACAAACCCTATACCAACCCGTCTGGCCAGCGTGGTATAGTAGGCCAAAACCTCCTTCCTAAGGAGAGGCCTATGTCCAGCAGTGGACTAGTAAAGGCTGTTGATGATGATGTTGATGATGTTTACTGTAATATGATTTGATCGTATTGTTACTGAATATTGAATCGGTAATCTACTAGTCTTTGTAATGCTTTACTGTTTTATGACAAAAATACATTTTGTGATAGATGCGAGATCAAGAGTTGATCGGAACTGAATTTTGTGACTGAACTTTTACTACGAGAATTAGCCTTCAGAGTTTTACAGACAATAAATATAATGTATAAAAGGTGGCCTTAACGCTAAGAGCAATTTCTTCCAGGCAACCTTTGGATGAATTGAATTCCTTTTGAACTGGTGATAGGTATAAAGGAGTTCGAATAAAAATATTTCTCGTAACAAATATATCAAATTTGCCGCGGAATGGTATTTCGAAAGAGTGCCGTCAATTGAAGGGTGGGATGATATATAAAACATCAATATAATTATCTTAACGAAATCTTTGTATCCAATGTACACGTTCAAAATGTCAAACTGTAGGCGTAAGTCGATGAACCATACAGGTATAGTTAATATCGATAGAAATGTACAAAAAACGGTCTGAAAACATTATTACGACGAAAATAATTTATATTTATGTTAGATCGAAATATTTGTTGGTTATTTTAGTATTTTTATTGTAGTATTTATTTTATGTCCTGTTTTATTTTATGTTATAAACATGAGGCTTTGAAGTCACGATACTTGTTCTAAATTTAATAGATTTTTTCGGACTAATACCAAAATTTTAATCCTCATCACCTGGATAGTTGGCGCTCCACTACTGTGCGCTTTTCGAGACACTTTTTGCCCCGCACAACCGATCGGTGGAACGGGTTATCGGGAGAGCTTCAAACCTTCAAGAAAAGAGCGTACTCCTTCCTAAAAGGCTCCTGAGATGCAGACGTTCATGGGTGGCGATGGTCAGTTTCCATCAGGTTACCCGTCTGCTCGTCTGCCCCATCTAACATTAAAAAAAACTAACTTAAAATTGTATTTTTTTTTCTATTTTATGACTATCTGTGACTTGTTCTTATACTCGTACGGTTAGATCTTTTAAACTACGCAACAGATTTGAATCCGGTTTTTATTAGTTGAGAAAGAGATACAAGTGGAAGGTTTATATGTATATTACATTCGCTAGTTAGTAATAAAACTCACCACGACTCAGTCAAAATGCGTACGATAATGTCGGCAGGAACGATATTGATTGCGGAGAGTGACCTTTTTAATTTGGCTGATTAGTTCATTCGGGGATGAAAATAGAACCTCTCACTCCACCTCACCCACCTCTCATTTGCTAAGGTGTGATGTCAACATAAAATGACAGATCTAGCTATCTGAGTACTTAGTATACGCTGATGGGAATAGGTTACGTTTTGAGTATGCTATTATTACTGCACCATATTTTTAAGGATATAGTTGAGAAAACGAGTAGACTTTTGCGGTTATGCTGCTTTTAAAGTTCCGTTGGCAAGTTGGCCAATGCGTACATGAATACCTACAACTCAGGAGCCTTACCGGCTTTTGAAATGGAAGTACGCGCATTTCTTGAAGGTTTGGAAGTCGTATCGGTTCGGAAATAACGCAGGTGATAATTTGTTACACAGATTGGTTGTGCGAAGCAAAAAAAAGATTAAGATTATGTGTAAATGGAAGGACAAATAATGCCCAGTTCTACGGTTTCGTATATGTTACGAAACTTTTCTATGACTTGGCAGATTAAATAGATTAAGTTGCAAATCTGATAAACATACTCGTAGGTTATTATCGTTGCATAAAAAAATACGGTTTTTATACTATCCTGTATTTACTCTCAAAATTTGTTGGAATACTTGTGTAGGTGAGCAATACCGGCATGTGGCTAAAATGTAAATATTAAAATGGATGTGAGGTATGCCTAGGCTAGGATGGACAATGTGAATGTGGATAAAAATTTGAGGACAGCAAGGAGAAGAAATTAACAGTGAATTGAAATTAAAAGATACGATAGTAGAGGGAAGAGAAGAGAGGGAAAGGAAAAGGATGGACTGCGTAAAAGAGGATGCGGTTAGAAAGGGATTTAGCGGTGAACTAACGCATGATAAGTAAATGAAAGAAGAGAGAATGAGAGGAAAAGTCGTTGTACTAACCCCTAATAAATAAACATACCTATGTATTCCTAAGTACATGTGGGTAAATGGGTAAATGCGTGACGAGAGCGTTGCGAAAAGTGTGATCGGGCGAGGCGAACGGAAGTTGAGAGGGAGATGTAAGTTATTGAAGATAGAAAGAGAGAGAGTTACGTTACGTATATTACTGTAGGGACACGAGAGAGCGAGATGCGAGCACACATTTTCTTTCTCTCTTTCTCTCATAGCATAGAAGTTTTACTTCAGTCTAAAATAGTCTTTTTTTTTTTAATGATGTTATTAGAAATATTTGTAACATGTATTTGTAATGGATACTGTTTTGATTGTTTGAAGTAATTTGATTATTAAATTAGTTATTCAAAAGGTTTAATTTACTCAATTACTGTGTAATGTTCTGAATAAAGCCTATTAGAAATTTTACAATTTATTCAGTTTGTTCTATACGTTAAATAAAACTTGTTTGATATTGAAATGCGGTTGCAGCGTCATCTGCTGGCGGTTTGCGTAAGAATGTTGTTTGCTTCATATTAAATAAAAGTAATTTTAATACAAGTCATCTAAAGATATGTTAAATTAATTAATATGTTTATCTTGAAAATTGAGTTATATACAAGAATTAATTTGTAAAGTTTTAATGTTGATTAAAGGTACTGTAGTTGTTAAAAAAGTTTTAGAATTATAAATACAGGATGTCATAGTGAAACGACACATTACACTAGCGATCGTATAGGAATAAACAATTAATTTTAAGTGTATGTTTTATTGACATTAACTCCGAAAGTGATAACTCTGACCTAGCGCCGACATACACAAGGATAAGATGTCCGATTTGGCTACTTCAAGAATAAGAGAGGAGACCTATTAAAGAATTTCAATCATTTTTCTCTTAAGGCAAAATAGACTGGTAAGAGAATGTCTTAGGCATGAAGAATAAACAAAAGTTCCATAACATAATATAAATTAGTTTTGACTACTGCTAATTCGAAAAAATAATTATACCATAATCATAAAAAGATTCCTAATTAAAATTGTGTATTATATTTGTTATCTGTATACGTTTTGATCCGTGTGGTGACGGATTAAGAATACGTTGTGTCACCACCCCTGTTCATCCCGTGGGTGTCGTAAGAGTCGACTAAGGGGTCGACTCTACGCAGGACACCAGCACTGCAAAGAGAAGGAAAACTTGAAACAAACCTTTAAAAACCCATCTGGCCAGTGTAGTATAGTAAGCCAAAATCTCTTAGAGGCCTGTGTCCAGCAGTGGACTAATAAAGACTGTTGATGATGATACGTTTTGATAATATTGTGTACTCACCGGCATGATGAAGGGCCGTTTCGAAGGGCGCGCGTTGCATACGCTCCTTAGTCTCTGCCAACAAAATATAAATACATTAGTAACGCTGCCAACAATTGATCTGCAAGATAAACATTGAATGCCACGGCTCAATATTGATAAGGAAATGTTGTGGTAATATTGGGAACTTCTACTCCAAAAGAATTTAGGTTCATGTGTTCTGAGGTGAAGGGGGGAAGCATCTACCCGCACCGCCAGTATACCGTTGACTGCACGAATGGTTTAAGTGGTCAGCTCGCCACTTCCTACAGTACTGAGTGATGTAGCTTCGATCACCACATGACACAACACTTTGTGTGATCCACAAGTGATATGTGAATCTGTAAAGTCGCCCCCTACACACAAAATATCCTCTCAGTAGGGACTCCCCACACAGATTCATTTATAAGCCTCCTTCTTTAGTCTTCTGTGAAAGAAGTCTTTCCTACTGCCGAGGTACATGGACAAATGTTTATAAGAACAACCAAAAATTGTAGAATCATGCAAATTCATAGATTGCTCTAAATTTTCAGTTCAAATTTTGATTCACTAACACATTGAAGCAATAAATAATTTGGTTCTTAATTCTACAGGCACAGCAAGAAATAAGTAAAATAACAGCGATTTCTTAAAAATAATTAAAAAGAGGGCCCCATATGCTCTTAGGAATCTAGAATCTATACTAATATTATAAAGCTGAAGAGTTTGTTTGTTTGTTTATTTGAACGCGCTAATCTCAGGAATTGATGGTGATGAGAAGATGGTGTTATTGAAGATTCAACTACATAAAATATATGTTCACGTCGATAGTCTAAACATGCTTTAATTTATCTATTTTGAGTCCACCGACCGTCATATGTAACCGATTGGCTGATATTTCTTTTTAAATGTCAGGTATTGTCATCAGCTTTTTCTGCATCACGCCTTGGAATTGACCTTCTTAAGTTATGCTCATACGCGATTTCCACCTGTACACTTTTCTATCTATTCATAGCTTTCGAAAAAGAAGATAGCTTTCTTTCTCCATATCCCTTGTTCTGATTATTCTGAACATTAGAAATTGCTTAGAAAATGTCTTTCCATTGAGATGTTTTTATCCATTAAAATTGGTTGAGTTGAAAGATAGGTAAAAATATTGTAATTAAACTCAATGTTGCGAAGTTCCTTCTCATGTTTTATTCTTTTTAATGGGACTGATAAAAGCAAATTGATATAAATAAATAAAACGCATAAATCAACAAATTGCTTCAGTAATATAACCATTGCAAATTGATAAATAAATCGCAATGATTGTAATATACGAGTATATGTAATAAATATTTGTTTATCGCAATGTTTAACACAAATGAACGAACTTTTGACCGAAAAACACTTTATACAATCGTTTGGGAGAAACGACACGTGATAACACAAATTTATCTCTTGTTTAAATTAAACTAATTTGACTGACCTGTTCGTATAATGAATAGTAAACCTGATTACTTAGCCAGAAGTCTAGTCGGTTCGATTCCCACCACAGAATATACTCGTATTTATTTCTTTTTTAAAAGACAACTCTCGCACTAGGAATATATTCTGTGTCGCGGGGGACTTGACAAACACACATGAAACGGACACAAAGAACACCCAGACTCAGAGAAATAATTTGTGGATTATTTTATGGATTGAACCAACACCACTCACCGGCGACCGCTTAAGCTACCACTCCATCCGTGCAATGTAGCAAAAAAAAGTTGTGTTTGACGATATTTTTTCCTATGTTTAACTGGAATTTATCCGTAGTTTTTTTTTCACACGGCCGTCTGATCCCTAATTAGGTAGAGCCCGTGCTGCGATAACCAGACTGCTGATAAACATACTTATAAATTTCTAAAAACATACATTTAGATAAATTACACGCAGACAAAGAACAAATGATCGTGTTCATTACATAATATTTGTCCTAGCTTGGAATCGATCCCACAACCTCAGGTTTAACAGTTACTATCAGTAACTGTTAGACCAACAGGCCCTTAGTATTTATGTATTTAGATATATGTAAGTATGTTTATCAGCAGTTTCATCATCATCATCATCAACAGCCTTTAACAGTCCACTGCTGGACATAGGCCTCTCCTTAGAAAGGAGGTTTTGGCCTACTATACCACGCTGGCCAGACGGGTTGGTATAGGGTTTGTGTCAAGTTTTACTTCTCTTTGCAGTATTGTTGTTGTTGTTTAGTTTGATCCCTTAGTCGGCTCTTACGACACCCACGGGATAATTGGGGGTGGTGACATTCCGTATTCTTAATCCGTTACCACACGTTTGGTTAATATTTATTTACTACAAAGTACGTAGATCCTGTACAAATTACACAGGATCTATCTAATTTACGATCGACGGCCGGGTGTATGTCAAATTACTGTTATAATCATATAAACTTCAACATATAGATATGCACTCACGCCTGTGTTCAGTTCAGTGTTCAGAGGCGTGAATCAAATTCTTAATTAAATGTTTTGCACATGTTTTTCCAAAAAAAAAGAACTAAAATCTGTAGTACATAATATCACTTCATCATCATCATCATGATCATCAGCCTATCGCAGTCCACAGCTGGACAAAGGCCTCTCCCATTGCACGCCACTTAGATCGATTTTGGGCTTCTCGCATCCAGCTCCAGCCAGTCATCTTGCGCGAATCGTCAATTTCGTCTTAAGACACTGTGGGATCGACGATGAGAAGACTTGACGTAGCTTCCCAAACGCTGCCCAACCCAACTGAATTCTTCTGTTCACCTCGTCCTCGAAGTTGTTTCTACCTAACTGCAATGTCTGCCCGAGGTACACATAATTTTGAACAACTTCAAGAACGGCACCGTGTACCGCAATCGGTTCTGGTAGTACATGTTCTTTGAACATGACCTTGGTTTTATCCAAAGCTATATCACTTCATATATAGTTAAAATGACTACCCGTCAGGTCGATCATCATCATTCATTTTTAAATATTTAACATCCACCTACAACTTACAATGTGCCATTTTGCGCTCAATCACGTAAGAATTAAAGCTTTTGGCATCAGCGGGGCACTATATTAACTAGAAAAGACAGCTAAGAAGGCAAGATATTAGAAGAAAAAGGATATACCTATTTCGGATTAGAGAGAGCAAACAACAGTTTAGGGTCCTTCGATCGGCTGTTGGTGAAAGCCCAGCTCTCTAACCTAATCACTAAACTTAATACTTAATAAGTTGACACCTACGCATACGGCCGTTTGATCCCACACTAGGCAGAGCATGTCCTATGAGAACTATACCGCTGATAAACATACTATGTCGTTCACCCAAGCACAGAGCAAATGATCATGCTTTTCACGCAATTATTTGTCCTGGGGTGGTGGGGTGGTGGGAATTGTAGCCCGACCTCCGACTTAGCATACACGACCACTAACCCCCAAGTCTAAATGTCTATTGCCTGGACATAATAACTTAGTAAAGCTACTTTAAGTATAACCGTCTGGACGTTTATCACTATTATAAAATACATATATTTTATTTGTCACACACGCAATGAAAAGTAGGACACGAACTATTTCTGACCACGATCTCTGTCAATGACAAACTGTCTAGGTCGCGATAGCCGCGCGAATACAGATGCGAGGTTGACGAACCACACAAATGAATTTAAAGCTTATCGTATGTTAAACCACGTCATCTGTAAGCCGTAGATGCCCGGGGGTCGGTCTAGAACCAGGGATTTCCTTTCTAGGCTACTAAGTCCAATTCCCCATCATCATCATCATCGACAGCCTTTAATAGTTCACTGCTATACATAGGCCTTTCCTTAGGAGGAAGGAAAAGGAAGGAAATGGAAAGGAGTCCAAGTCCCCGGCTACTGGTATCCGAGACGCTGTCGGTTGGAGTGCGATATAACCACCCCACCGGTCGTCCGGTTGTCGGTACCCGATGGGTTAAACCACCTATGCTTTAGTTGAAATGCATTAAAAAGCTGTTGATAAATTTAATTCAAACAATAATAAGCCCATCTCCCGTCTTGTCTGTCTTCCATTCTATTTTAAGTCGTAAAATCTAGACTTGTATAATAGTCGCGCGATTTCATCACAGTAAATACAAAAATATTACATAAATTATTGCAGTTGACCTGTCAATTTGCATTCGATGAAAAATGGCGATAAAAATAATATCAATTGAAAATAGTTGTCTGTGCATCTAGATATCACTAGTGATCATTTATGATGCAATAATGGTACAATGTCCACTGCCGTATTTGCACTCTTAATGGGTATTGACGTAGAAAATTGTAACTGTTGTACTTATATTACTCCAGCTTTACAATGTCCACTGCTGGACATGACGGTCCAACAATGACTTGGAAGAAGAGCGCTATTGTTCATGGATGACCTACTATGCGCGAGCTGTGGTCTCCTCTCCATTGTAATCGCTAAATATTGCCACGATTGAAGATTTTGGATGAAGCAAAATCTGACGGGGAACACGCACACAGTATAAAAATATTAATATTGTACCACATTCACACACGTCATCTATTCCCAAACTTAGCAGAGTTTTTACTATGGGTACTAGAAAACTGATATAAATTAAAATATACTTTTTTTTTGTAAATACATACAAATGATTTCCGTATGGTGACTGATTACGAATACGGAGTGTCATGCCCTATTCATCCTGTGGGTGTCGTAAGAACCGTTCACCACCTGATGAATAAGAGAGAAAACTAACATCACTGCAAAGAGAAGGAAAACTGAAAACAAACCCTATACCAACCCGTCTGGCCAACGTGATATAGTAAGTCAAAACGTCCTTTCTAAGGAGAGGCCTATGTCCTGCAGTGGACTAGTAAAGGCTGTTGATGATGATGATGATGATGATATATGATACATGTAAACATTCGGTCGCAATTAAACATTAAATGTTCATGGACTCAAATGTAGGATGACTTGATCGGGAGCGGCCTTTGGCATAGCAGTCAGTTTAACATGGTAAAGAGAATGCTATAAAAATACTAAAAATATGAA